ATCTATTATGATTGGTTTTACGTTTGAAGATGGTGGTGGGAATGATGTTTGTAGTTGGATTGGCTTTTAGAAAGACAAATTGGTGAGGATTGGAGATAGAAGATTAAAAATCTTTAATACGATCTAAATTCTTTTGATCTGTGTTTTGTAGTGTATAATTAATATACATTGAAATAGCTTTTAAAAAGCTGTTGGACAGTGCTAAAATTATTTGATAAAACTTAATTTATAAAAAGTAAGATTTTATATGATGTTAACACTTGTCGGTTTATCAATGTTTATAGTTCATTTACATTACAGTAAAACAAATATTAATGTTTGCTGGTTCGTGAATTTCAGTCTCGCAGAAGAGCAGCGGACCCGTAGCTAAAAACGCCAGGAAGATTTAATTAAATTTCAAAAAAATATGCCTCAAGCCGGGATCGAACCAGCGACCTTAAGAACTTCAGTCTCACGCTCGTACCAACTGAGCTATTAAGGCAATTCTTGAAATTGTGTGATATAACAACAATTCTAAAATCAATTCAAATTTATTATAATAATCATAAACATATATCACATTTATTAGAAAAAGACAAACATATATTATTTTATAATTATCATAAAATTTAGACACATTTTTAATTTAAATAATCACACATCTATTATTTTATATTTATCATCAATTGTAAACACATTTTTAAAATTAAATATTTTTTTAAATTAATTTTAATTTTTTAAAAATAATATTTTTCAGTATAAATTAAAATTCAAAAATAATTTTTAGTCAGAGAAAATAATAACAGAGAGAATAATAGAGAAAATAATATAGAGAAAGTAATAAGTAATAGTTTAGTTATAGAATTTATAAATAATAATAATTAGTAATTTTTAGTTTTAATAAAGATTAGTTATTTTTTAAAATATAATTTTTAAATATTTTTATATATTTATTTTGGTTTTATTATATTTTATTTTATCTTTATTTTGTGTTTTATTATTATTATAATTAATTACATTTAGTTTATAATACATTTTGTTTTGTAATTAATTCATTATATTAGAATTCTTAAATATAACAACAGTTATATTACAATTGTGTGATATAATAACAATTTCAAAATCAATACAAATTTACAATAATTATAAACGAATATCACATTTATCAGATATTAACACACATTCATTATTTTATAATCAATGTCAAATTTTAACACATTTTTAAAATGAAATATTTTTAAACACAATTTTTAAATTAATTTTAATTTTTTAAAAATAATATTTTTCAGTATAAATTAAAATTCAAAAATAATTTTTAGAGAGAAAATAATATAGAGAAAGTAATAAGTAATAGTTTAGTTATAGAATTTATAAATAATAATAATTAGTAATTTTTAGTTTTAATAAAGATTAGTTATTTTTTAAAATATAATTTTTTAAATATTTTTATATATTTATTTTGGTTTTATTATATTTTATTTTATCTTTATTTTGGGTTTTATTATTATTATAATTAATTACATTTAGTTTATAATACATTTTGTTTAGTAATTAATTCATTATATTAGAGTTCTTAAATATAACAACAGTTATATTACATTTGGCGACAGCTCAGTAAGCTATTTTCGGTATAATATTACTGACATTGTAGTATAACTGCCCCCCGTCCGAACCAATCTCATTCAGTATAAATACCTCAAGTTCTCAGTCTAAAACTTCAGAGGTTTTTTTATTCTATATTATTCAATAAATTACAATTTCATTATACATATAATATTTGTTATTTGTTGTTTATTTGTTATACTTATTTTACATATATATATACTTAATTATTTGGAAGCTGTATAGGGCTTCATTACATTTTGGGACAGCTCATCAGAATCTGGTTTGTCTCGTTTTGGGGTTTGTTTGAATTTTTTGGGGGAAGAGAATTAGGTTATTTATCTCTTTTTGTTTAGTTAGATTTTGGAATCTTTTGGGTGATAAGGTATTATTGGTCAAGTTATTCATTTATTTGTTTATTTATTAATTAATTTATCTATTTATTTATTTATTAATTTATTTATTTATAAATTGATCCCGTGGAATTAAAAAAAAAAAAGAATTTTAGTTTATTTTGCTGATAAAAATAATAACTATGTTGATTATTATAAAGTAATTGTCCTTATTCATTACACATCCCCTTCCTAAGTGGAACCTAAAAGCATAGTTTTCTTTTTTTTTTTTTAATAATGAAAAATAAACGATGAAAAAAATAATTTAAAAAATTTTTATTTTTTTTATTATAATTGTTTTAAATTTATATTAAAATTAGTTTAATTTGTTTATAAAAATATTTATTTGTCTAATTGTGCCTGAATCTTTATAACCAGTTAATTGAGGGTGAGTTTTTTCATAATCCTTATTTCTCCCATAGTTGATTTAAATCTATAAATTGTTGCGCTGTGATTATTTTGATGATTTGTGAAAATTAAAGTTTAATGGACTTCTTGAAGTGACGAGGTATGATATTACCTAATTTGATGAATAGCTATGAAAACTTCTGTGTTCTTTATCTTCTCTTCCTAAAACTATTTTATTTCTATCATAATTACTTGGCCAGAGAAAATTAATGATATTTAAAATAGTTGAAAAGATTGATTGGCACAATAAATCAACTACGGTATTCTGTTTTGTTATAATATTGGGTGGTTAATTAAAATTTAAAGAAAAAATAAAATAAAAAGATTATTAATATATAATTTAATATTAAATAAAATTTTAAATAAAGATATCATACTTAAGTTATGATTTCTTGACGAATTCTGATCTTTCTTATAATTAACATATCAAATCGAAGATCTCTACTCACTTCCCTTATTCTTTTAACTTCTTTTTTTATTTTCGGTTCTTAATCTGGTTTTGTTAGCTTGACCGATTATTATTTGACTCCTACAATTCAATGTATTAAACATTTGAAGTACCACATGAATCACTAATAGATATAACACCACTTGAAACTGTACTTGCTTCACCATCTAAATTACTATTTGAAACACCATTTGAACTACTACTTGAACCAACCACATTTGATTTACTTTTTATATAGCTACTTGAGCCAACCACATTTGATTACTATTAATATAACTTAAAAATTTAAATTTCTTGACCACCGTTTGAATCCCCACGCGAACTACCCCTTGAACGACCATTTGACCACCCCTTGAACGATTACTTTCACAGCCTTTTCACTGATTACTTGAAACATTATTGGGACCACCATTTGAACCACTACTTAAATTGCTTGAACCACTTGAACTATCTCGATACATTGCTTAGACCACCATTTGAATCACTGAGCTAACTACCACTTGAAATTCCATTATTTAGCAAACCCTTCTGTCTATAAATTATTGATTAGTTGTACAGCTAATACCGAAATATATAGACCAATGTCAATATTATGACAATAGTGAACTCTATTGTATTAAAAAATGAATTAATAAATTAAAAAAAAATTATAAAAGATAAAAAAAAAAGAAAATAATTATTTACCTTTAAAAATAAAATATAACCTGGCTGAATTTACTATAATTTTAATAATTTACGTCTTGAACCATCATTGGGACGTACTGAGCCATAGTGTTTCCTCGGCATGGATGAGATAAAAATAATTGCCTCTATCATTTTCAATTGGAATTTGGGAACAAATTTCCAATGAAAAAAGCCTGCGAATCAGAATTCGACTGGATGAAAGAATTTGTTATTTTTTAGGAATTTATAAAACTTCCAGCAGCAGGCAATTTAAATG